CGCATCGACGGCCTGCAGCGCCAGGCCCGCCAGACCGTCGAACGCCTGACCGGCTTCGACCGCGGCGAGCCCTACACCGAGCAGCAGCTCGCCGACTTCCAGGAGCGGCTGGCCAAGACGCAGCTCTTCGACGCGGTGCGCGTGCAACTGCAACCCGAAGTGGTGGAGGCCGACGGCACCAGCCCCGTGCTCGTCACGCTGACCGAGTCGTCGCTGCAGCAGGCCACCGTCGCCGTGGGCTACCACGCCAACAACGGCCAGAGCATCAGCGTCGAGCACCTGCACCGCCAGCCCTTCGGCCTGTCGATGCGCGCCCGCACCAAGCTGCAGTTCAGCCGCGACCTGCGCGGCGGCGAACTGGAGCTCAGCTCCCACCCGCAGCCCGACCTGAAGCGCAACCTCGCCTCGCTGCAGTTCGAGCAGGACCGCAGCGGCGACAAGATCGCCACCAACCTCGGCCTGCGCGTGGGGCGGCTGTACGAGTCCCCCCGCGACGAGCGGCTGACCTATGTCGAACTGCTGCGCGCTCGCGAGACGGCGGGCAGCCAGGTCAACACCAACCTCGCCGTGTCCATCAACCAGCAGTGGATACGCCGCCGGCTGGACAGCACGCTGCTGCCGACCGACGGCCACCAGGGCCTGCTGCTCGTGGGCCTGGGCCAGGTGCGGGGCGGCGGCACGGACGACAGCGGGCCGTTCGGCCGCATGCAGCTCAAGCTCGGCGTCTACAAGCCGTTCGGCGGCTGGTTCGCCTCGGCACGCGCCGAGGTGGCCCAGGTCATCGCACGCGAGCAGGTCGGCGTGCCGGAGAAGCTGCTCTTCCTGGCCGGCGGCGATGAATCGGTGCGCGGCTATGCCTACCGCAGCCTCGGCCCGGTGCAGAACGGCCTGACCGTCGGCGGCCGCGTGATGGCCACTGGCAGCGTGGAGATCGCGCGGCCAATCCTGGCCAGCATGCCCAGCCTGTGGGGCGCCGTCTTCGTCGACGCCGGCAACGCCGCCTCGCGCTGGACGGACTACCGCC